ATGTTGGTCTTCGCCGATCACAACAGTGTTGTCCTCTACCGACGAGTCTATGACACCAAACGCGACATTAGAAGCGAACTGTTTATGAGATTGGACTACATTCGGGCCCATAATATGGGTCCGGTTCAGGGCTGGGCTGTGGACGGAATGGTCATCCATGAGGGCGTGTGTCAGAGGGACACAGCGGCCGACTCCACGTACACAATCACCGGCGACGGCAACTCTATAGTAGACGTGACGTCCATTCAGATGATGTCCACCAAAGAGACGGCGAGTCCAGAGGTCAGCCTCACCGAAGAAGCCGATCAGACGGGTGCCGAAGTGCCGGGTGCTGTTGGGGGCGCCGCCGATATTTCAGCCGAATCGATGGCCGCGGGCGGCGCTGTGGGCGGAGGCGGTCCCACCCTATCGTCACAGATGGGAGACATGCATTTGACGGATGAGCCAGAAGTGCGGCGATCTATGAGCCCAAGTAGTTCTCGGCGCCAGAGTTACGCCAGCGATGGAAGTTTCCAATTCACACAGACGGACACGAGTTCACAGCAAAGCCGCGCCCGCTATGGATCGGCCGGTTCCGCACAATTCTCGCTTCCCAGCGGTGGTGGTTATGGTACAGACGGTGGCAGTCGTAGAGATAGTGGCAGTGGTAGAGATGGTGGAAGTGGTGCCACTGCTCGTTATGGTAGAGGAGGTGGTGGCCAACATCGGGCACCGGGTGTGACAATCGCTGACTTTATCGGCACTCAAAACCAACAGAAGAAGAAAAAGACGCGATCGAAGGGCAGAGGAAAGCCAGGAGATAGTAGTGGCCAATGATTTGCTATGAAAACTACACAAAAGCAACAGAAAAGTGTTACCAATGAGTGGATTGTGTTTTGTTTTATGATTTCTTTGTTTGAATTGAAAGAACATTTCTATTTATTATTCCTCTCAACAAATCAATGAGTTTTAAATAAAAGAAAAGTTTTGTAAAAATAATTGATGTTTTTATTGGCATTGAGTTATGGTTTACATAGTCATAAAATTGTACAATATGTCATTGTTATTGTGAAAATACAAAACTATTTAATACTTTTGTTTGTAATATGTTTAATTACGATATAATAGTTATTGGAAATAAAATTTTCAATTATTAAATTACTTAATTATGTTATATTTGAGTTTAATTTTATGCAAAACATAATTATAATGATATTAAATGTAAATCTTATATTTGGTGTTACAATACATCCGCTGATTAACAATTGAAGTGATATTCTATAAAGACTTGTTGAATGTATGGATGATATTAAAGAAAACAACAAAACATAAATCATCGCATCAACATTTGTATCGATATATAATTAATAATGTTTTTATATTTACAAAATATGGTTACTTAACTTGTTTACGATTAGTAATACTTAACTATCATAATAAGTATTTTAATTTTTTTGTGAATAACTTATTCATATCAGACGATGTCTACAAAAAAGATAATGTTCTATGAAATAGGAATAAAAGCAACAAATTTTACAACTATTGAAGTAAGTTGTAAAAAGTTACATCATTGTAAACATTTATAATCATAATTGTATAAAAAGTTGACATTGAATTTGATTGACTACTAACTAAATAACAAATATTATTGAATATAGGAGTGGTCTAGGCGTACGAGAACAGGTGTACACAGTATAGAAATTATACATTATAAATGTGGATAATATATTAAATTTACCTTCCCTTGGTTATTACTATTGGTATATTTTGTTTTAGTTATTTTTATTTTTTCAAATTCAATATTATGAATCAATCGGAAATTATATAAAAATTATGTTAGGTTTGGTAAATTTTAAGTTGCATGATTTCGTCATTAATTTGATTCCTATTTAAATACTGCTGTGATTATTAAAAACCTGATTACAAATAGTCATAGTTTATTTGATTTTACTAAAGTATTATTGCAAATATCTTAGTTTTAAATATCAATCATAAATATTATTAAGATTTTACAAATAATGTTTTATACATTTAAATCAAATACAAATTTACTACAAATATGTTTACTAATCACAGTATTGAATGCCATAACATGTGTTAAAAGGCGTCCTCAAAGTCAAAATAATAGCAATTATAGACACATCGATGGCATCCCAGTTGAACCGCTATCACCCGTTGAACCAAAGTCACGGACCAATCAATACAGTGATAATGACAATCAATTGCCGAATAAACAACTAAACGCTAACTTGAATTCTCGGACAAAACCATATCATGATTATAATAATTGGACAGCAACTAGTGTTTCAATCTTGTATTATAAACAATACCGCAAGTATACACAAAATTTTTGTTTGTTTTTTTGAGATAATTGTGTAGATTAATTTTTTAAAAACTTTTTTGTAGTTTATTAAAATAACCAAAAGTTATTAAAACTATTTTTATCATTAAATTAGTGGTGAAGTATTGCCGCAAGAAAAACCGATTAGAGATGTTCCGATCAAATCGTACCAATCATTTATACCGTATTTTCTAGACTTTTTTCATACAACAAATACAAATCGGGCAAAACAATTGAAATTATTAACTGAAAATAGCATTAACTCAACAGAAAGTACTTATAATGATAATAACGGGACAATTGACGAAAGGATTGGCAACAAGACTAACATCAGGAAGATTAAGGGAAATGAAGAGCTATACCATATTGTCGCACAACAACCGGTTAATAAATCATACATTGAGTTCATGTCATTATTTATTAATTATGAAAATTAATTGATTTACAATTAGAAATTTATAAATTAATATTTATTGTAATACGTTTTACTAATTGTAACAAAAAACAAAAGCATTATTATTTATTTTGTAAAAGTAATTTTAAAATAATCAGTATCTTATACGTTATTTAAACGTTTATTTTTTTAAAATAACACTTCATTATAAAATTCTTAATAATAAAAACAAAAAACTTAATAAAATTTATACTGTATTAATAATAAATTTATATAAAATAATTTACTGTATTATGTAGAAATAAAATTACACTATTTCATGCATAAATGCAAGTTTTGTAAGTTAATGATTATCTTATAAGCACGTTGATTTTGATTGACTGATTAATAAAAACAAATTAGAAGTTACTATTTTATTAACAATTATTTATTCTTAAAAATTAAAAAATTTAAATGAATTATATGGAAATTTTATAAGAATTTGATTGAATATTGCATTTATAAGTTGTGTTTTCCAAGTTTGTAAGTATTTAAGAAATGGTAAAAGTTTATGTAATTTAAATAATCTTCAACATTTTTGTATTTATAATTGTTTAATAAAAATAATACCATAAATAATTATAAAAAATAAATATCGATTGAAAACTGATTTAAATTGCATTTTTAAAAGTGATAATAATGTTTAGAAATAAAATCAATAAAAGTTCAATAAAATCAACTAAAAATGTGTTTCAATTATTGTTATTATTTACAATCGTGAACACTATATTGTGCAGCAAAAGACGTCAATTGCCTCAAAACCAGAGCCAATATATTGATCCGTTTAGATCCGTAAATGGCATCAGATTATCACCTGTTGAACCAAAGCCATGGATCAACCATTTCAGACATAATGACAACTTTACTATTGTATAATCAAATGACTAAAAGCAATGTCATGAACACCGAGACTAACTCAAACAATGAACACAATAATTGGACCGCAACCACAGTTTCTCTCGTGTATTATCAGAGTTGGTATGAAAGCAAATGTTATTGATTTATATATACTGTATATGATTTTTAAATTTGCTAGAATTCAATTTTTTTGTTGTAAAAATTAGTGTCGATTTGTCTGCAACTGAAACCCCGATAAAACATGTGATTAAAACCTATGAGTCGTTTATACGTTTCCTTCGACATCAAGACATTCTTCATAAAACAAATACAAATCGGACAAAACAATTGCATTCAATCATCAAAATAGACAATCACTCGACCGATGCTAACAATGGGACGAGTGATGAAAATAAGGATAAATATTATTTATCTATTTATAATAATAGTAATATTTAAATATTCATTTTATAACAGTAATAATAATTGTTAATAATTATTATCACAAATTAACATAACATGAATTTAATTCTGTAACACAGTATTGTGTCAAACATAAAATATTCAATAAAACCTGAAAGTAATATATTTGTGCAAAATTTTTGAGGAAAATAATTTAGTTTTCAAAATGTGTAAAAATCATAATTCGTGGATATTATGTAAACATCTCGTATGAATTAGAGTTAATTCACAGGAAAAATGCAATTTATTGCACAATACATATCAGGACGTGTTGTTTAACATTAAGAATAAATATTTAAATCATTTAAAAATATTTTATACATTAATTTATAAATATATAAATTAATCTCAGTTTCAGTAATTAATTAATAATGGATAAAATTAAGTCGAGTAATTTTACTGATAAAGTGGTTATAATTACAGGTAAAACAAAATAATAATTGTATTTTTATTAATAACTTCCTAATGATATTGGTGTAAAGGATCAAGTTCAGGTATAGGTGCGGGAACTGCTGTACACTTCGCGAAATTAGGTGCAAAAGTGGTGGTCAACGGAAGGGATCCGAAACGAGTCGCTTCTGTAGCCCAAGAGTGTCGAAATGTGACCGCAAATCCAGTCCTCGAAGTAGTGGTTGATCTGCAAGACGACAGTCAAACAAATAATTTAGTGCACAAAACTATTGACACTTTTGGCAAAATTGACGTATTAGTCAATTGTGCGGGTATTATAGGACAGAAAGCTATACACGAACCCGATTACCAGGAGCTTTTTGACACAATTGTGAAAATTAATTTGCGAAGTGTTGTTTATCTCACATCACTTGTTGTGCCACATCTGGAGTCCACCAACGGTTGCATTGTTAACGTGTCCAGTGTTTCATCGGTAACACCCGTAAGACATGATTGCATTTGATTTTGTTATCACTTATATTTTGTGGTCATTTTCTAATTAAATATGGTGTAAATTTATTAGTGGAAAAGGACGTGGTCGGCCTATGGTATGACTAAATGTGGGTTAGATATGTTTACTAAATGCCTGGCCATGGAATTGGGTCCCAAAGGCATTCGTGTCAACTCTATTTTGTAAATATTAAAACATACATTTAATTTCAAATTAAATCCACTATAATTTGGTCACAATTTTCAGGCCGGGTATTGTCTTAACTCCAATGATTGGCGGAACAGATTTTAATGAAGATTTAGTGAAAATGTTTTGTCAAACGGCATATCCTATGGGACGACCCGGTTATGTGGATGATATGGTACGGGCTATTGAGTTCTTGGCGTCCGATTCATCCAGTTTTATAACCGGGATATCAATGCCCATCGATGGCGGCGCTATTGTCGGCCCCCGATCTAGACTTTGATACAAACAACAAATTATATTTAATATATTCATTTGTTATAATAATTCAATTTATTTTATATAAATAAATATGACAAAATTCATACTGAACTCAATTTGTGTTATATTGTACTGTACATTATATTTGATTTACAACAACTTATCGTTAAATAGTATTTATAATATATCACAATAAAACTTATTGTTTAATATTTGTTATGAATTGATAATTATTTTACATAGTTTTTTATTTCACAAATTAGTTTTATGTCGTAATAAGTACTCATATAATGTGCTTATTATAAATGCTTTAATATATACTGTAGTATGTTTTACTTATAGTATTCTAATACGATTACACATTGGGAAATAATACAAGCAATATCAGCACATTATTATATCATATAAAGCTTTATAATGTATAATATATTCTAGTTGAAACATTTGTATAAAATATCTAAAACCTAATTTCTTTTAACTCTAAAATAATATTTATAATTTTTACCCCATTCTCTAAATCATATAATTCGCAATAAAAGTTATGTGAAATATATTTTTAGATTTGTAAGGAAAACGATTACATTTAATAAATTATGCCATAAAAACAATTCGTTAAAAATATGTAAATAATCCTGAATATTATAATCAATGGGAATTCACACAGAATTTATTATAATTGTCAACAATAGTTAGATATGTGTGCTATCACTGCCAGCATTTTGTAAATTAATATAGAAATCTATCGTTATTTAAATATTATTATCATTAACTTATTATAATGGATGCAATTAAATATAATTTTACATCGAGTAATTTTATTGACAAAGTTGTCATAATTACAGGTAAATTACTAAAAATAATATATTTTAAATATTAAAAAGTGTGTGTACTATAAAGGATCAAGTTCGGGTATAGGCGCGGGAACTGCTGTACACTTTGCAAAATTGGGCGCAAAAGTAGTGGTCAACGGAAGGGATCCGAAAAAAGTCGCGGCCGTAGCCCAAGAATGCCGTAAAGTATCTAAAAACCCAGTCCTCGAAGCGGTGGTTGATATCCAAGACGACAATCAGGCAAAAAGTTTGGTGCAAAAAACTATCGACACTTTTGGCAAAATCAATGTATTGGTGAACTGTGCCGGAGTGATGGGCCAGAAAGCAATATCCGACCATGATTATATGGAGCTCTTTGATCACTTAATGCCTATTAATCTACGAAGTGTTGTACTTCTCACATCGCTTGTTGTGCCATATCTGGAGATTACCAAAGGATGTATTGTCAATGTGTCCAGTATAGGATCGGTAACTCCTGTAAGGCATAATTTTTATTTTAATACATAAACAAATTAATTGTAAATTATTATTTGTGAATATAATAATTATAGTGGAAAAGGAGGTGGACGGCGTACGGAATGACAAAATGTGGGTTAGATATGCTCACCAAATGTCTGGCCATGGAATTGGGCCCAAAAGGCATTCGTGTCAACTCTATTCAGTAAATATACAAAATATACAAATTTATTATAAGGCGCTGATATCAAAATATGCGCAAATCCTATATCTGTAAGCATATAATAATTTGGTGTTTAATTTGAATGCATTCAGACCGGGTATTGTGATAACACCGATGGTTAACGGGACAGACTATGACGAAGAAACAGTGAAAATGTATTGCGAGTCCGCGTATCCATTGGGAAGACCCGGTTATGTCAATGATATCGTCCGTTCCATTGAGTTCTTGGCGTCCGATGAGTCGAGTTTCATAACCGGTATATCTATGCCTATCGATGGCGGGGCTATAGTCGGCCCCCGATCTAGACTTTAGTTTTTTTTAAATAATCTCAATTACCATTAATTAACATTTGAATAACGTAAATATAACATGTTTTGCAATTAACAAATAAGGTTTTTTCTACGCGAAAAAGTTATAAAAATAGCTGTTTTTTGGGAATGGTTTTTTGCCAACAAATATTATTATGTTTTTTATATTTTAATGAGTAAATAAAATTGAATTTAACATTACGTCTGTTCTTTGTTCACTTATTTAGTAAATTAATTGAATTTTATCCAAAATAGTAAAAATGTTTAAAAATAAACGACTTATCTATAAATTTGGTGATAGAGTGGCGCTCATCACAGGTTTATTATGTCCTAATATATAGCATGTATTACATTAAGTAATTGTTAATAAAATATGCCAATTAAGGTGCGAGCGCTGGTGTGGGCCAAAAGTTTGCCCAATCTCTGGCCAAATTGGGCTTCAAATTGGTTATCACAGGCAGAGACCCGCAGAAACTGAAAGATGTGGCCCAGAGTTGTCGCCAATTATCCAACGATAAAGTACTGGAAGTGAAGACAGATTTGTTGAATGACGAGGAATTGGCGGAACTGATGGAGAGGACAATCAAAGAGTTTGGCCGATTGGATGTGTTGGCCAATTGCGCCCAAATAAGTATCCCGTGCTCTAAGTACTGGAAGTGAAGACAGATTTGTTGAATGACGAGGAATTGGCGGAACTGATGGAGAGGACAATCAAAGAGTTTGGCCGATTGGATGTGTTGGCCAATTGCGCCCAAATAAGTATCCCGTGCTCTATAACCGATCCAAATGTGATGCACTCGTATGAGCGGGTGTTCAACACGAATGTCCGCTCAATGGTAGTCCTCACACGACTGGCTCTCACACACCTCCTCTCCACTAAAGGCACTGTCATTACATTGACTTCCGATTCAGGATTCTTACCCGTAAGTCATGTGATTACCAAAAATCTAGTCAACAATTATAACAATATTTAATAAATAAATGGGAAAACTTCTAACAACTAATAATTTATATAAGTAACAGATAAAATATAAACAATATTGTAACATAAAACAATGCTGTTTCATTTTGTCAAGTTTTACCATAATTATTAATTAATATGACTTATTTCAATACATGAATGTTATTTCAGTACTCGTCTGAATTCCCATACTGTGTGTCGGAATCGTCTGTCGATTACTTTACTAAAGGTTTGGCGTCTGATATGAAACGAAAGGGTATTACTGTTCTCTCACTTAAGTATGTGTT